CGTAGTCGTAGTCGTAGTAGTAGTAGTAGTACTAGTAGTAGTAGTAGTAGTAGTAGTAGTAGTAGTAGTAGTAGTAGTAGTAGTAGTAGTAGTAGTAGTAGTAGTAGTAGTAACAGTAGTCGTACTCGCAGTTGTGGAGTAGGAGTATTAGCAGTAGTCGCAGTAGTAGTTTTCGTAGTAATCGCAGTCGTAGTCGTAGTCGTAGCAGTAGGTCGGAGGTAGAGGATTCCGCCTTGGCGGGTGCCGGTCCCGCAGGGCCGCGTCGACGACGCTGGCGTCCGGGTGCACGGAGTAGCCGTTGCGGAAGTTGGCGTTCCCCGGAGGTGCTGCCGTCGGCGGTGGTGGCGTGGAGGGGCGGTCGTGGGGAGGTCGTCGGGTGCGTCTGCAATTGTTGCGGTGGGGTGGAGAGGTCTTCGCATGGGTGTGCCAAGGTGGCGATCCAGAACTGGACCGGGCCCGTGCCACGGGTCGGCTGCCCATGCGTTGGGGGGTAGAGGGAAGGAGGGGTCGGAGTTGACCGAGTATTGGATGGGGTCGTCGCTGCAGGGAGCAGCTGTTTCCTGCCCTCGTCAGCCATGCACCCCTGCGTGAGTGCGTGACTGGTGCAGTGTATGGCGCGTCGGCGAATCGAACGCGTTGAATAGGTCTGGTGGGGATGGGGTCGGGAGGGGCGTCGGAAGAAAGGGTCGGGTGGGGCGTCAGGTACGGGGTCATGTGTTTCAGGTCGGCCGCTAGGTGGTCCAGCTGGTTGCGCCTCCATTTCGCGAATATTCTGTAGCTGTTGCTGCCGTACCATATTGACCCGTCGGCATTCGTCGTGGAGATGCTGGATCTGGGCGTCGATGGCGCTGGTGCCGGCGAAGTCGTTGATGTGTGCGCTGGCGGCGATGCTGGCGATGGAGAGGACGCGTTGGGTCCAGCGGGCTTCGAGGTCACACAGGGTGGATGGCATCCACTCGGGGGCGTGGGGTGGGGCGTGGGGTATGGCGTGGGATCGGGCGTCTGGTCTGTCAGGCTGGGGTGAAGGGTCCAGTGGGACAGCGGGTAGGCGTCGGGCGTGGAGTGGTCGTCGGGCGAGGCGTCGGGTGGGGAGCGGGGCGGGGCGTGGGGCTGCGAGTGAGGTAGGACGTTGGGTCGTCGTGGTAAGCCGTCGTGGGAGGGCAGAGCGTGGGGCAGAGTGTTCGCGGGGAGGGGTGTCCTGACGGGGGAGGCGTGTCGTCGTGGGGAGGTGCGTCGGGTCTTCGTGGTCGTTGTCGTGGTCGGTGGCGTCGTGGGGAGGACGCCTCGGATCGTCCGTCGGGGCAGGCTCGGGGCGGGTCGGGAGGGCGTCCGTGTGGGCCGTCCAGCCGTCCGTTTGGGTAGTGAGCGCTGGCCGCGCAGTCGAAGGAGGTCCAGCAAGGAGTCGGGCGTGGGGAGGCCGCGTGGCGGGGCGTCCGGCAGAGAGTGGGCCTTGAGGCGTCGGGCTGGGCGTTGGGCGAGGCGTCGGTTGGGGAGTCGGGCGGGGCATCGGGCCGTCTTGGCGAGGAGTCGGATGAGGGCGTGGGGCGGTCACCGGCGAGCGTCGTGGGCGTCGTCGGGCGGGGGGTCGCCGGTTCGGTTGCGGGGTCGTCGTGGGTGCCGTCGGGGCGAGGGGTCGTGGGGCAGAGAGGGTCGTTGCCCTCGTCGCCGTCCTCCTGGCCGTCGGGCATAGCGTCGGGTAGGAAGTCGGGCAGGGCGTTGGTCTAGGCGTCGGGGAAAGCGTGGGGAAGGGCGTTGGGAGGGGCGTCGGTCGGTTGGGCCGCCAGTCGGTCTGTCCTCGTCCCCGTCCTGGCGGTCGCTGGCGTCGGCGTCGCAGGGAGGAGGGGCTCCGTCGTGGTCGTAGTCGCCGTCGTGGCGGGCGTCGTCTTCGTCGCCGTCGCGGCGGGGCCGCTGTGGGAGCCGTCGCGGGGGGCTGTCGTAGGGTCCGTCGCGGGGGGCGTCGTGGAGGCCGCGTCGGGGGGCCGTCGCGGGGGCCACCGCGTGGCCGTCGTGGGGTGCCGTCTTGGCCAGCGGGTGGTGGGGGCACTCGGTTTGGGTGGGGGCCGTGGGGTACTGTTGCGGAGGGGTCGGGTGGGGGGCCCCAGGGGGGGTCTTCGGCTGTCCCTGTGACCGCTTCCCTCCCGCGCGCTCCCTCTCGGGGCATGCGGCCACTCGGGATGTCGAGCTGGCCGCGGGGAGGCGGCGCCCGCTTTGGAACGGACAGCGGCCGCCATGGCCGCTTCCCTCGGTATACCAAGGGTACGAAGGGTGTGAGCTGTGAGGGTCGGGCGGGTGGTAATGGGGGTCGACCTGCATGGGGGTGAACAAAGGGCACCAACAAGCCACTTCAGGGCCCCTTGTGGAAGCAAGGGCACCAAAAAGCCAGAGGTCGACCTGCCTGGGGGGCGAACAAAGGGCACTTTAAAAGCCACTTCAGGGCCCCTTTTGGAGCCAGCAGGGGCCCAAAAGGGGCCCTGAAGTGCCCCATACAGGCCCCCGTCTTCACCCCCTGTTCGGGTCACGCCCCGTTGCCACCCGCCCGAGAGAGACGGCCTGGCTTTAGCCGTCTGGGGGGTCTGCGATGGCCCAGCACCGTGCTCACAGAAATCAGATCCAGTGTGAAGAATTGCACCGGATGGGCGTCCTCTGAGCATTGGGTACTGGAGTTTTCCAGTCGCCACCGACGAGAACGAGATGCTTCAAATTTCGGTGTCGGGCGCGACCGACTTGCTGCTTCAAAATTGGTGGCGATCGGTCGCGACCGATTTGGGGTGCCGATCGGTCCATACTGATCGCGACCGGCAAAAACTTGGTATCCAGTGATCTGGGTTGGGAGGATTCCAGGGTCCGATTTTGAGCGGATGTGGCTTCACCCTCCCTGGTGACAGATTCCCGAGTGTCCCAACCGGTTCAGATCCCTCAGCCGCTGGCCGCCTCCGACCCTCGCCGTGGCCCTTCCTCCTCCCGGGTCTCCCTCTCCTCCCAGCTTGTGCACGCGCGTTCCAATCACCACCCTTTCCTTCACCCCCCCCATCCCCCCTCCGTCACAGACCCCCAACGGCATGATTTTCCAACCCAGGGGTCCCGACCTGCTGATCCCTGGGACCCACATCTCATCGACGGTTTTTGTTTTTGTTCCGGCCCTATGGGGCCCGGCGAGGGCCCCAGGGGCCCGAGAGACTGGGGCCAAAGTGGACGGGGGTCAGTCAGAGCGCCGGATCTTGCAGGATCCCTTGGTATCGCTCGGACGTGTGCACTTTTTCTCGGCGGGGATCATTGAGGAGCATCCTGGATCATCCTGCGAAAAACCCACGCACGAAACCGAGAAAAGCACAGGGAAAGGACGTCCAAGCGATGGCCAGATCCTGCAGGGCCAGGGGCGCACTGACCCGGGCTTGGGTGCAGGAACCTGCAGGGTCCTGCAGCATCTCGCGGGATCCTGCAGAGCCTGACTGACCCGGGTTTGCATCGACCCGGGTCCGCTCAGCAGATCCCCGAAGTCAAATCGGGAGCCAGACTTCCCGTCGTGTCTCTTGCTGCGGCTCTTCTGCGACGCGGGGGCGCCTGGGCCCCTCCCCCGTGCTGGCCCCCGAGGACCGATGCTGGTGGCGGCGTCCACTTCCGTGAAGGTGTCCCTGCAGGAGGAGGAGCCCGCCGCCGAGGCGGGAGGCCAGCCGGAGGCTCTTGCCCCCGCGCCGGAGAGCGGACGGGTCTGGGCCGCCTGCAGCTCCACGGCGGGGGGAGGGCGGTGGCGAGAGTGTCGTGGAGGAGGAGGAGGAGGAGGAGGAGGAGGAGGAGGAGGAGGAGGAGGAGGAGGAGGAGGAGGAGGAGGAGGAGGAGGAGGAGGAGGAGGAGGAGGAGGAGGAGAGGAGGCAGGTGAGGCAGGAGGAGGAGGCAGGAGGCAGGAGGAGGAGCAGGAGGAGCAGGAGTGGGAGGAGGAGGAGGAGGAGGAGGAGGAGGAGGAGGAGGAGGAGGAGGAGAAAGAGGAGGAGGAGCGTCGCCGCAGTTTTGTCGTCTTTGGTTGTTCTCCCCCCCCTCATGGGCGGCGGAGGACTTAGCTACTCCGCCCGTGGGGGCCTCTGCGCTCGTCGCCACCTTCTTTTTCAGCACAGCTCCCTTGGTCTGACGACCTCCCCTGGCGGCCATTGCCCCAGGGGGGGGGGAAATGTTGCGTTCATTGGAGGACTCTGATGCCACCAGCACGAGCCTGAGGAGGTCCTCCTCCTCCTCCTCTTCCTCCGTCTTCCTTCTCCTCCTCCTCCTCCTCCTCCTGTCTGCTCCTGTCTCTCTGCCCACGGAGTCGTTCTCCGTCCTCTTGCGCTTGGCGACAGTGCCTCTGCGTTTTTTGTTGTTGCGCCTGGGGTGTGTCGCCCAGGGGGTGCTCGCATGCCCGAGGCGACGTGCCGATTGGCCCTGGATCTTACGAAGCACCCCTGAGGAGAAGAGGGATGGGCGGATGCGGAGGCGGAGGGGCGGGGGCAATCTAGGCGCGCTCGAGCCATATCTGACATCCTTTCCACTCCACCCGCAGCTGCAGCCGCGGAGCCTCATCAGGACGTTGCGCATGCAGAGTCTCGTGATGACGCCGCTGCCACGGAGCATACAACTCGGGAGCCGAACGCTGAAGTCCGATGAGGGCCTGGAGCTGATACGGCGGAGACTGGTGCGGCCCTCGGGCGAAGAGAGGTCGGGGCCTCTGGTGCCGACAACAAGAGCAAGCACATAACGATTATTGGTATACCAATAACAACACCGACAACGACAATACAAACAACACCAACAACAACACCAACAACAACACCAACAAAAACAACAGCAACACCAACAACAACACCAACAACAACAACAGCAACAGCAACAGCAACAACAACAACACCAACAACAACAACAACAGCAGCAGCAGCAACAGCAACAACCAACAGCAACACCAACAACAACGACGACGACAACAACAGCAACAACACCAACACCAACAGCACCAACAACACCACCACCACCAACAACAACAACAACACCAACACCAACCACGCTAACAACAACAATCGCAACAGCAACACAACCAGCAACAACTACACTACCAACAACAACAACAACACCAACAACACCAACAACAACAGCACTCATTTAAGGACTGTTCGCTCGCGTTTCATGCAACACTCATATATCCCACACATTCGAGAACCGCCTGTGGGGTTGTTATCTTCGTTACCTGCCACGTGTATTTGGCGCAGCCCCTCAAAAAGGGGACGAGCGGACGGATGGGACGGAAGGGACAAAGGGGAGGGAGAAGGAAGGAGCACGAGAGGGATTAACAGGAGGTGGGCTAGGAGCAGAACGCACGTGGCAGAACCAGACGGGCAGGGTAGACCCTAACGGTCGGGTCGGGAAGACAGGCCCAGGCGGCCAGGTCGAGCAGGCGGGTTGCTGAAGCGTGGGTCCTTCGTGATAAAGCGGTTCCCAAGTAAATCGTGCAGAAGACCAAAGTGAGAGCGTGATTTTTGAGTGCCGAGGGCGCGGCGTCCGAATCATTTGCGCTGATGCCCCACGCGAGAGCAAGTTTCCTGCCTAAGTCGTGAGGAAGTCCTGCGCGAACGCGCGATTCTGAACATATTTTGTGAGGACGTACCAGGCGGGAGCCTCTACTGTTGCAATCTGGTGGTCGTCAATACAAACTGGGCCTCAAGAGGTTGATTTTGTAACAAACAGGGTGCAAGCCCCAGGAGGGACATTTTAGTTGAAAATCGCAATGGGCACAAGGGAGAAGGATTAACGATATTTGTTGTTAAGGGTTGAGATTCCAACACCATCAACAACCAACGGGAGCCTGGCAAGGCGTCGGTCAATCCGGGGTTGTCTGGAGCTGCGCGCGACGCTGCGCAGCGAGACGTGCAAAACGTCACCCCCAGCGTAGCGAAATTCACCGAGAGGAGTAGCGCCTGCCCGCGCGGTGGCAGCCGCTCCTTCCACCTCGGGGATGCACAACCCAACACTGCCGCAGGCGTCGCGGCACTGGCACCGCACCAGAGGCAGACGACCTGGCCAGGCCCCTGCGCGAGGGCGTGCGGCCACCACGACCGCTCTGCGAAGAAGGCAGCGAGCATGGCGCATGGGCGAAGGGGGCCGTCTCCGCCGCTGCGCCGCGGCGGTGGCGCTGGCGGAGGAGCACGTCCGGCGGGCGCGGCGTCCAGCAGCGCGGAGGCCGCACGGGCTTGGGCCCCGCGTCGCACGCGGGGCCAACCGCGCCGACGGCGGCGCGCGGCCCGTGGCAGGGCGGCCTGCTGCGCGACAGCAGCCACTCGCCGCACAGCTCCCAGCAGCTCGAGCTCCATGCACCGTCTCTGGTTGCAGGGCTCGTCGGGCAGCAATGGCGCCTGCGTTGCCGTCGGCCGCGCCGTTGCCAAGGTGGTCCCGCCCGCTCACACCCAAGTGTCGTGCCACCGCCGCCGTCTAGTGCGCAGGCACGTTGCGGGCCCAGAGCCGCCCGCTGCCGACGGCGCCCACCAGCTGCTGCCAAAGGTCGGCGAAGGTCGGCGCGTTCCCAGTCCCGCACGTCGGCGCCAATCGCGATCCTGGCTGTCCGAGGCCAGGTCGATCGGCCGTCAACGAGACGCACTGCCACCGGCGCGGAGGTCACCTCGGCCCAGTGCGCCGTCTACGGCCAGTCGGCTGGTCCGGCGAGGTTCGGCGGGTCGGCGCCCGCGCAGGGAAGACCCCAGGCCGCGCGCGCCAGCAGCGGGTCGGCGGAGTGGAGATATGCCCCGTCGCCCGTGCGGCGGGGCGTTTCCGGGAGCAGCGCGGCCTGGGGCGGAGGCTGCGCGTCCTCCCTCGGAGGGCAGGGTGGATTGGCGGCATCGGCAGGGCACCGGCCAGCACGACCCCTGCAGGCAGCAGTTGCCGCAGTGCCGCGGCGTCCTTGGGAAGCAGTTCCGTTCGCGGTGCTGCGGCCAGCGCGACGCGGCGCGGGCCATCCCACGCTGGGCACAACCAGGGGCGGTGCTCGAAGTCTTCGGTGGCCAGCCCGCAGCGATGGCAAGTGCCAGCCATGGCCTCGGTGGCAAAGCTGCCCTGCATGACGCTGCGCAGCGTCAGTTCTGCTGGGCCGCGAGGCGAGGTCGAGCTGGCCGGCCAAAGGCGCCCGCGCAGCCTGCAGCAGCGGCGCGGCGGTGACAGCCGCCCTGGGATCCAGGCGCCACGCGGGGCTGAGCACGCCGAGCACGGTCTCGGCGGCAGCCCGGGGCCCGTGGCCAGCGGCAGACTTGGCGGCACGGGTCAGCCGCTCAAGCTCATCCGCGGCAGGATAACGCACGAGAAGCCAGTAGGTGCCCGCGGCCGTGGTGGCGGCCGCGCCCCTCAGACACCTCCAGACGCAGGGTGCGGGCAGACGGCAGGGCACGGCAGACGGCGGCAGCGCGCGAAACGACCGCAGGCCGCAGGGTGCTTGCGTCGCGACCGCAACGACTCCGAGGTCGCTGCTTTCGGCCCCCGCGGAGATCGCGCCGCGGCCACAGGGTGCTTGCGCCGCTGGCCGGCGACCGCGGCGAGTCCGAGGTCGCGGAGTTCAGTCCCGGCGGAGATCGAGGGCATCTCTCGTTGGAGCCACCGCCGCACCGAGGCCAGGTTAGCAGTGTGCTTGCTGCTGACTTCGTGCAGCCGCCAGCTGATGCCTCGCACGCCCGGGGTGATCCGCAGGGCCTCGGCGACCGCCGCGGCAGAGGCATCTGGGCCCCCGCGCACCCACAGCGTGAGGTCGTTGACGTACACGCGGCGCCTCAGAGTGCCGCGGCCGGACCGAGACGCTCAGCACGAAAACTGCCAGACCGCAGCTTGGAAGCATCCCGCTGGTTGGCCCCCACGGGCCACCAAGTGCGCCGTTACCGCGCAGCCGGCGGGAAGCCACGTAAAGAACGAACAGCATACCACGCATTCATTCAGCACGCACCAGCTCGCGTCAACATCCATTTCTGAAGCTGCGAGCGAACGCGGCCGTGCGCCGACCCAGCGCGCCGCCTCAAAGTACCCCATCCAGCAGCCTCCGCGGTTTCAGACCCATGGGCGAGGCCCCGCGCGAAATCTTCGGACCCGGCGCCGTCGTCGGCGTCGCCCGACGCCGCGCGCCGCTGCGCAAGCAGCTGCGGGCCTCCCTGCGGCCCCGAGCCCGACGCCTCTCCCGCGCTGCCCTCCCCCCCCCCCCCCAGTTGGTTCTGACGGCCGGCGGTGTCTGCAAAGCTGCCAGCGTGCATGGTCACGTCGGCCACAAAAGTGCACGTGTGCAGTCGGGCCGGATTAGTAGGCTCAAGGGTGCCCTTGTGTCTTGTGCCTCGCGACGCGTGCCTTCTTGCACTCCTGCGGCAGTGTGGCCCTCGGAAGGGTCTTTTGTCTTCTCGCGTATCCTGTGCAATGAAGTCCAGCAGCTGTAGCAGGCATCATCTGAATGCTCCAGTCAGGCTTTCTCTAGCCAGGCCGGGGAGGTCATCCAACGCAGCTCCAGCCTCGGTCTCGTGTTCGGCCATTGCGTTCCCGAGGACGTGGAACCCCTCAGGAGTGCCCAAGAGTGCCTCGACTTTCATCACGCTGAGCGCCCCTGGACCCGAAAAGGAATCGCTTGCGAGGGCCACAATCGGCCTCCAAAAGTCCAACTGGGGCCTGCGGCGCTTGGTACGCCAAGCCCCCAAAGCGCTGG